AAATGTCATCTGCAAGGGCAGGATTAGAACTTGTGATGTTGTAGATACCCATATTCGGACATTGATCTTGAATGTCAAGAAGTAGATCATTTATAAAAACTAAGTAAAGAAATGTCGAGAGTACCCTTCCTTGACGAACTCCTTGAGATACGGGAAACCAGTTCGAATTTGCAGTATTTACTACAAAGAACAGGTGGTTTTTTTGTATGACAGTCGTCTGTAAGAGTCCAAAGCCGACCAGATACTTCCAGGCGGTGTAGCTTGTACATAAGACCATGTCGCCACACTGTGTCGAATGCTTTCTGGGTATCCAAGAAAGCAACGTAAACCGGACTACCAAGTTCTATATTGTGATATATAGTTTTTTGGAGGTTGAAAGATGCAGTGAGGCAGCCGAGCTTCTGCTGGAATCCCTGTTGTTGTGTGTTAGAAAAATCAATAGCGGACATGAGATTTTATCCTGCCTAATAACAGTTTTTCAAAGATCTTAAGAAGGCACGGAAGTAAGGCTATTGGTCTGTAACTGTCCGGGGATTTCCGTGGTTTGTTGCTTCCCTTGTGTATAGGGATTATAATGTCTTTTTAGCTCACCTGAGCCGAAGGCTCAAGTGAGCTTTTCTGATCACATTTTGTCCGGCGTCCGTCTGTCCGTCTGTCTGTCCGTCTGTCTGTCTGTCCGTAAACTTTTCACATTTTCGACTTCTTCTCAAGATCCGCTGGGCCAATTTCAACCAAACTTGCCACAAAGTATCCTTGGGTGAAGGGGATTCAAGTTTGTTCAAATAAAGGGCCATGCCCTTTTCCAAGGGGAGATAATTATGAATTAGAGAAAAATTAATGGCATTTTTAAAAAATCTTTTTCTCAAGAACCACTGGGCCAGGAAAGATGGAACTCATGTGGAATCATCCTCAGGTAGTGTAGATTCAAGTTTGTTCAAATCATGACCCCCGGGGCTAGGGTGGGGCCAAAATGGCCGACCCAAGTTTTACATAGGAATATATAGGAAAAATCTTTAAAAATCTTCTTCTCAAGAACCACTGGGCCAGGAAAGATGAAACTCATGTGGAATCATCCTCAGGTAGTGTCGATTCAAGTTTGTTCAAATCATGACCCCCGGGGATAGGGTGGGGCCAAAATGGCCGACCCAAGTTTTACATAGGAATATGTAGGAAAAATCTTTAAAAATCTTTTTCTCAAGAACCACTGGGCCAGGAAAGATGAAACTCATGTGGAATCATCCTCAGGTAGTGTAGATTCAATTTTGTTCAAATCATGACCCCTGGGGCTAGGGTGGGGCCAAAATGGCCGACCCAATTTTTACATGGAATATTTAGGAAAAATCTTTAAAAATCTTCTTCTCAAGAACCACTGGGCCAGGAAAGATGAAACTCATGTGGAATCATCCTCAGGTAATGTAGATTCAAGTTTGTACAAATCATGACCCCCTGGGCTAGGGTGGGGCCAAAATGGCTGACCCAAATTTTACATAGGAATATATAGGAAAAATCTTTAAAAATCTTCTTCTCAAGAACCACTGGGCCAGGAAAGATGAAACTCATGTGGAATCATCCTCAGGTAGTGTCGATTCAAGTTTGTTCAAATCATGACCCCCGGGGATAGGGTGGGGCCAAAATGGCCGACCCAAGTTTTACATACGATATATATTGGAAAAATCTTTAAAAATCTTTTTCTCAAGAACCACTGGGCCAGGAAAGATGAAACTCATGTGGAATCATCCTCAGGTAGTGTCGATTCAAATTTGTTCAAATCATGACCCCCAGGGCTAGGATGGGGCCAAAATGGCCGACCCAAGTTTTACATAGGGAGTTATAGGGAAACCTTTTAAAATCATCTTTTCAAGTAATTCAAAGCTATGATTAGTGATATTAATATGGAATCATCTTCAGGTAGTGTAGATTCTAGTTTGTTCAAATCATGAACCCCTGGGGGGTTAAAATTCAAGCCCCCCCCCCCCCAGTAAACTTTCAGTTCTGATCTGATATGTGCTTTTTCCTAGCCAATGTGCTCGGGTGAGCACTGTGGCCCCTGGGCCTCTTGTTTCCAGGAGTCGGGGATTTGACCAGTTTTTATGATATAGTTAAAAAGATGCTGTATACACAGTTTAAGTTCTGAGCCTCCGTAGACAATATGTTTGTTCTGAATTTTGTCTAATCCAGGAGCTTTTCTGTGTTTTAACTCACTGATAATTATGGAAATTTCGTCGATGGTGACATCTCCGCCTGGAAGGGATTTATCCGTCAGAATTTTGGTAGTTGTTTTCAGATTGGTGTAAGAATTTTCAATAAAATGGAAGAAGTCAGAGTTAAAGGTCCCGTTATCCTGTGGATTGTATATACGTTCAAAGTGATGCGCGAAACAGTTAGCTATATCCTCTGGGTTTGAGTATGTAACATCATCAAGTTCTATTTCAGGATATATTCGAGAGCTACGAGGTCTCTGACGTTTGATGAGCTTCCAGAATAATCGCACATCACACTCTGAGGCTCATCAATGTCCTTAAATACATTGGCTAGGTAATCGTTGTGCGCAGATATATATATTTAGACACAGGGATAGACTGGGATGCAGCATTGTGTAACAGACATCCTGAGGATTGCCGCGGTAAAGCAGGGTCTACCCATAATGTCCTCCTTGTCAATACTGAGTAGTTTTTGAGCAAAAAGGGGGAGGGCAGAGAAAAGGAAAATCCAAAAATCGCAAAATACACATGGAAATAGCCGAAGTTTTGAGCGACAAAAGTTGTTGCTACAACAGAGTCTGATACGTCTGTTTCATATTAGGTTAACGTCTTCGAGCTGATTAGATACAGGAGCATGCTCGACACATGAATTTTTCAATTACGTGTTCCCACTTTTGTCAGTTAACTGATTTTTATTTGAAAATTAAAGTATAGCGGTGTGCACTTGCTTATTGCATTTTTTGGTCTACTAGTCAGAGACTTTAGAAAAAAAACATGCGATATATAGTAATTAAGGTGCCCGTCGTCCGTCTAGTCTGTAAAACATTTTTATTTTTTATTATTATTTTTTTTTTTTACAAAATACTCCTCCTCCTACAGTTTTGATCTGATTTCAATTTAACTTGGCACACAAGTAGACTACAATAAGATACTAGTATACATAAATTCTGATTTCTGTTTTTGATTTCAATGAACAAAATTTTAACCAATAATTATCAAAACAAAATATCCCTTCCCATTTCCCCCTCTCTCTCTTAGTGGACATAAAAACTATAATTTTGATACATCATGATAAAGTAATGAAAAGATGTATTGATGAACACTGAATTTGATTTTTTTTTATGTATGCTAATTTATTGACATTTTACATTTGAAAATTATTTAAAATTGTTGAAACAAAATATGGAATATTAATAAAAGTTAGATCTCCTAACATGCCAGTTGTACGTATTTGACTAAATGTTCAGAAAGATTTGGAAGGTTTGTTATTCCAGATGGTAATTGGTCATTTTTCAAAAGGGTCTCTCGAATTTCACATCGACACAATTGTTTCAGTTTGCGGGGAGCTTTATAGTATTCACTCGGCAAATATCTTGCAGCACTTTCTCGTATAAAATAAACATGCGGAGACTTTTCTTTAAGATGTGCCACGGTTTGACCATCAAAATTTAGGTGAAGTGTTTTGATTGTTCGCAGAATATATTCTAAGCACCGTTCTAGTAGTTCCATTGGATTTTCGGATATGCCTTGTCCGGTTGCTTCCTCAATAATTTGTTGCGATCCAAGATTTCGAAGTACGTGTTCGAGAGGTTTTCCATGTGGTGTTGCACCATATTGTAGCAGTAGCAGAACAACTTGCGGTTTCAAATTTTCACACGCCAGAGTGAGGCACTGGGTTCCAATATGGTTATCTGATGAGGTATTGCCCGTCATTAGGAGAGTTGGGTGCCCTATGGGTATATCGAGATAATAAGCTTGGCTTCCCTGTATGAGTTCTTTATACACCACACGAGCTGGGCCTTTAAATAGTTTATCTCCCAACTTATTCTCTGTGAAATCCACTACAAATCCAGCAGCTGCCTGGATTACATGGTAAGCCTTGTCTAGTGTTTCGTTGGAAACAGACAAGTCATCATAATACATGAAATCTCTCATAAATAGACCCATGTCTATTCCTCGACTGTATTGAAGAAGTTCCAGTAAGAATCTTCGAAGTGGCTTCTTGTCGTTGACTTTTAACTGGAAGCATAATCCGAGACCCAAGTGAAGGGATAACCAGCAATATTGTACCTCCTTTGGATTCATGTTGTGTGACCGCGTGTAGGCCATGATATCGTCGAGCGCCTGATCCAAAGTCATTTCTCCTTTGTTGATCATATCATAATACTTGAATCCTATCATTTCACACTTGCCCTCTAAAGTTCCATAGCCTGTTGCGGTCTTTTTGGTAAGAGTCGCAAACGAGTTTTCCACTTTTTTCTTAGAAATTGCTATACCCATTTTTTGATTAAATGCCGGTCGTGTTCGAAGTAAAATAAAGATGGATTCTACCAAACTTCAATGCCGACTGAAAGCGAGTGTTTCTATGGAATTTCGATGTTTTCCTTGACGTAACAATATTACCTTCCTCATTGTGACGTCATGGATATTGTTTACAGAAACAGTCGCGTGTTTTGTTGCGTTTCTTGTAGCGAAACATACATATCGGCTTTTGTGTGGAATTAAAAAAATATATAATCTTTTATCGTTAAAAAGGCAATCAAGCCATTATTCCATCACGCAATCAAATAACATGAAAAATATTAGCACAGTATAAGGTCTTTCGTAGAAATGTGGGGACGGTATTCTAGCACCACGGTTGTTTGTTTTTCGGATTTATTTGCATTTTTAAAAAATTTATATTAATTCCAATTTTAAAAAAAATAATTTGCCGCATTTAAAAGACATTTATCAAATTGACGATTATCCGGGGAAATATTTTCTGTACTATGTCGTTCTTCGTTTATTTCAACTTCCGGGTCATGATGGAATTCCCCTCAGCTATCCTGGTAACAAAATCATGAATTCATGTAGGTTAGCCCATTTGTTTTCAAGAACACAGTAGATTGAAAGCTTCCATCCAACTTTATTACACTTTAAATTTAAGGTAAGCATTTTAATGATACATGTACTGCTCTATATTTTACCTCCACCAATATTGTACCAAATCTAACGTGTCAGATTTATACATGCTATACACTCACAGGCACCTGGATTTGTATCAATCAGTCGCTGAATATAAGACAAATATAAAAAATTATATCCCCTTCATATGTCAATATTACACATGCATTTGTATATAGTGGGTAGATGGTAGAATTTTTCGATTACATGTAACACTATTTGGCTAAAACATTAAGCAACCAGTCTAGTCGAACCCTCAAACGGGGGTATACCCCCAAACGAGGGTTTTCCTTCCCTTAATGCAACGCTCTAAAGCTGAAGTGGAATTCAAGAACCATAACTTTTCTTATTTAAAAAATAAATATTTTTTTAAAAATCACAAACATACAAAAATGAATTGTCTACACCTTTGTTTTCAATTAAAAAATAAAAATAAAATTTTCTTCGTTTTTATTTACCTCATTTCTGAAGCACAAAAGTTTGTTTACAGGACAGAGGAAATTCGGACGGGCACACAAGAAAGTGTCGAAAAATAATAAATAACATGTTAATTACACAAAATTTGTAATACCGGGGAAGAGAATTATATGTAGTTCAAATTTAAACAAACTGTTGTTTGTGTGTTCATCCGTTTTATCAAATTATGAATAAAAAATCAAGTTGTATCAAGCATGGATGTCAAGGCACAGAATATACGCTAACTTTTGGAGAGAAAAAGTCTCGATTTTTGCAATAAACATATACTTTTTCGCAATACAATCTCTTTAAACATCTTTAATCTATCAAATTTGAGTACATACAGAGCTACGAAATAATCCATCACTTTGCACGAGCATATTTTGTGGACCACACATTTTTCCGTGAAAACGGCACTTTTTTGAGTGTCTGCGCATGCGCGTACCCCCGTTTGAAGGTACGGTTTTCCTACTTCCGTTTACCCCCGTTTGAGGGTTCGACTAGACTGGCAACTGTCAGATTGATAAAAATTCAAGTGCCTTTGATACAGTTTGCAGGATAAGAATAATTTAGGTTTTTTTTATTATACATGTGTATGTTAACACAGTATTTCCAGTCTTTGCTTCTAGTTTCATAAATTCAATAAGGACACGTACAACACTAAACAACAGGCTTATTGAGAAAAACCCTTGTATTCTTTGAGCCCTGAGAGGGGGGGGATAGCACTGGTCAGGGACAAATTATTTATTTTTCCAGACGGGAACAAAGGAAAGGAGTGACTTGCAACCTTTTTACCATTGATCTTTTTAATTCAAGAAAAATATGCAAACAAAAAAATATCATTTGAAGGTCAACATGGTCAAAGAAATTTAATTGCATTTTAATCTGATGACTGGCTTAAGGCCAGATAAAATTAATCCTAAGATTCTCATCCCTGCACGCCCCTCTCATAGTGTCCCGCCCCGGTAGTTTTAATTTTGATTTTTGGGTGTCTAAGAGTTATCTCCTGTCTGCGTCAAAAGTCTTTTGCCGCTATTTATAGTAAAAGAGCCATGTGAAGAATGGAGAAAAATCAGCAATAAAAGCAGTTTTAATATGTAAGGAAAAGATAATTTGTCAGTATAGAGAAGGCAGAGAAGAAAAAATAGCATAAACACATCAACTAAATATCATCACTGGCAGAGCAAGTTTTTAAAGAGATTTTAACTAAGTTAAAAATAGAAGAGGAAAATGATACCTGGTCAAGTTTTAACTATCTCTAGCTATATGTGATTTTGCATTAAAAAAAAAGAAAAAAAAAGAAAACTTTGTCAGCAGACTTTGGAGAATAATAGTGCTAAGGAAATGTGAAATCTTAAACCTGTTCAGGTAGTTTTTTCCCACTTAGCCAAAATTCTGAAATTCTTATTCCCATGCACATAGCCAAAATTGTTATTTTCACACCTGAACGGTCACCTGTGTATAGTCTGTTTTAGACTGATTAACAGTAATTTACCTGTAATTTTCACCTGAGATTTATATATTTACCTATATTCTTATAGGTATTAATAAACAAATTAATTAAATGAAATAAAATTAATAAGTAAATATTAAATAAATTATACATTTATTAAATAAATTGTATAATTAATTAAATCAATAAATGATATTAAATAAATAAATAAATAAATAAATAAATAAATAAATTAATTAATTAAAATAAAATAAAATAAAATAGATAAATAAATAAATGATAATGAATAAATGTTAAATAAATACAGAAAAGAAAGAATTAAGAAAAAAAGGAAATTAATTATACATTAGGCCAAAATAAAAAATAGTCTTGTTTCCTGCTACCCGACCTACCCTATTTTTTTGCACCCGACCCTAAAGTGTTTTTTTTTTTGGCTTTTGGGGAAAAAATTGAAAATTTTAGGAATTTCATGTTTCAAAAGTGAAAAAAAAATTATACTCAAGTTGTATTACATGAAATATATTTATAGAATATGGACTTACATAAAATTCCACTTGAGTTGTGCATCAAAAGAAATGGAATTTCATTTAAAAAGATAATATCTACCTGGCTATGACATGTTTAATTTGGTTTTGTAGTAGTTCATATCAAAAAAATACCGTTGGAAAAAAAAAATAAAATTAAAAAATAAAATAATTTTCCTACCTACCTACCCTATTAAAGCAATTATTGTTCATTAAATGCTCTTTTTTTTACTTATTCTAAAAAAGAAAAAAAGATACTATGTACATTACTTTATTAAGTATGGCGAACGTGCAAGTACGGGTGGATTTCCTGGAGAACGGCAGGGGAGGTTTCTTCCTTCTTCAAGGTGGTTTCAAGTACTCCATAAGAACAAGATTCAACGACAGAACCTACTGGAGTTGTGTTGACAGACAGTGTCCGGCTTCATTAACAACATCTGAAAACATCGTGGTGAAGTTTAGCAGACCACACAACCATGAGGACAACTACATAGGACAAGCAGCCGAATCCTTCATCAGTGGTGTGAAGAAGAGGTGCAGAGAAGAGGCAACACCAATCCCCACCATCTATGATGAAGAGTTAGGAGGTTTGCGCAACACTGAATGTGATGATTCAATGGTGGATATGATTAGGAACATTCCAATATTCCAGGCCTGTAAGTCTGTTTTGTACAGAAACCAGGCTAATACAACTCCAAAGCTGCCTACTTCGCAGGAGGAAGTTAACCTCAATGGACCATGGACCTGTACTTCAGCTGGAGAAAGGTTCCTTCTCTGTGACGACACTGATGCCCAAGGAAACCAAATCCTGAATACTTGAATATTATGATAATGACTGTTATGTTATTTTCATGTTTGAAATATTTGATATGACCATTATTTATCAAAATGATTAATAGTATATTTATGTAAGAATGGCAACTTTTGCATGCCTGTTAATGTAACTTTATTTAAAGTGTCGGTGTGATATTTTGTGTTTTTTTTTTTTGTGATATGAAAAAGAAGAAGAATTAAAAATAAATATCTTAAAAATAAAACATGCTTCTTTATGTATTAATTTAGCTGAAAAAAACAATGAACTATTTAAAAGAAAAACATGTAATTACAAATTAGAGTTAGAATTTTAAAAAAATATAGAAAAAAATAAAAAAAACACACACACACACACACACACACAAATTTTAATTACAATAAAAAAAAAAAAAAAAAAAATCTTGTAATTACATTTAAAAAAATGTGAAAAAAAAAATTTAAAAAAAGGAATTAATGAAAATTAGAAAAGACATTTTAATATTTAATACATCACTTTAAAATATTACTTAGAAACAAATATAATAGATGAAGAATTTAAATAATTCATAATTCATAGTACTGGTCATTCTAAAACAGACTATAGGACACCTGTAATTAATTTCTTTTGTTCTTTCCCTGCCCTTACCTGTACACCATTCCCACTTAGCCAAAACCAGTCACCTGTATCAATTTCAGAATTTTGGCTAAGTGGGAAGTCTAGGCTTTTCAATAGGATATTTTGTAGATTTTGCAAACATGACCTAAGCATGTCAAGACTCGAGAACAATCAAATTTTTAAGGAAGGTGGAAATCTGCGACACTTTACGCAAAACAGAAGGATTTGTTGGTAAAACTTTGAAAGGTATTCGGGGAAAGGCGATGAGAAGTCATGCATGCACAATTTATTAGTATTGGCACCTCATTTTGTTTGGCGTGTGCCGTATATGTGTACTTAATTATTTGTTAATTAAACTATAAAATATTTAATTTTTTAAAACATGAACCATCTGTAGATATTTAAAAGAATATGACAGAAAACAATAAAATCTGTTCATATTAGCATTAACATAATGACCAAAAAAAAAATGCATGTTTTGAAGAATCCATGTTTTGTTGATACTTTCAATTATAAAAAATAAAATCCACCTACCCGCCCCAATTTGGCCTAATATAATTTTTTTTTTTTTTTGTGTGCATATTATATTCATAATTTGCATCTTCGAACCTTTCATTCCTGATTTCTATTTCTGGTTTGGTTCATATTGATTTTTAAGGAAAATTTTTATGTTTATCTGCAGACTCAAGGAAAATATTTCATATTTAACAGGAAAATGATCATTGACACTGGGTTGTGTACAAAGACATGTACATTTGAAAGCAAACGATTACATTTATAATGCTTATTTTAAATTTTTTTTCTCTGCATTACATTTTCATGGACATGATTGTAGTTGTTTGATATTGAACAAAATATGTGCTAATTTGCTTAATGAAAGATTTGTGTAAATCGAAACTTGAATGTAATTTTTTTTCTATAAAACTAGGTTTTAGTTAATTTCCTCATTATGTAGGAGTAATTGTATTTATTGAATATTATCAGCCAAAATTGAATGTAATTTAATTTAATTGTTTAAGTAGTCTAAGTAATTCATCAGAAAAAGAATCCATTCACATTTCACTCATTATGCTCACAATAATTTACTCACAGTGATAAACTGCCGGATACCAGCTTGTGAAACAGAGGTCAAAGATGAAGAAAATTCGCTTGTCTGACACTGACCTTGAACTCTTTGAACTGGAGATCAACCCAGGGGATTATACATTCTTCACCAGACACAAAGAGGCCTTCAGATGCATGTGGAAAGAACAGGTTAGATTTCCTCATAATACTGACAAGCATAATTATAAGCACAAAAGAGACAATATGGTGTAAAATTGCTAGAGATGTACTGTGTTCTGTAAAGTCATATTTTCGAGGTGTCAAATTTTTGTTTTTTTGAGGAAAATATATTGGTTCATGAGTATTTGATTTTGTGGTTGTAGAATTGTGTAGTTATATATGAAAAATTGCATTTTGTGGAAGATATAAATTTGTGAGTCTCTTTACACCTTTAAAAACCATGAAAATCAAATCCCCACGGACATCGGTGATTTCACAGAATTTAGATAATACAGTGAAATTGTAACAGTTTTCATTTAGGTAGAAATGTCAGTGCAATGAAATGGCAGCGAAGTACTATGAGACTGTATTTATAAATAACATTTGTCTTTTATTTATCTTTAATTAATTTGTATCTAATAGGGATTGTCTTTCTGGAAAAAGTTCATCATAACATTTCGAAGCTTTACCAATCGACATGGAGCTATCAAAGAAATATCCAGTAATTCTAAAAAATTTGAAGACTTCATCGACCAGGCATTTATTTTTGTTCAAGAAAACTTTGTAGAAGGTAAGAATGTAAAATTGTAAATTACAAATTACTTTTTAATTTTTATAACGATTTGAAAGTAATTATATAAACAGTGATTTAACTTGAGTTGTATGTTCATTGTTGTAGGGAGAGAGGGGAAAGCTAAGACCTTTATTGATGATGTAGCCAAACTAGCCCAGAATAGAGACCGGTTTAAAGATCTGGATTCCAAATCTTTTGGTAAAGTAGAGTTGTGACATGTGTGTTTTAAAATATTTACCAATTTACAGAGTTTTCATGGAAGCATTTACGGGATTATTTGGGACTTGCTCTTTTATGTTGTGTGTGCATGGTTTTAATTGAAGTCCTGAATTATTTATGTGGAATGCTATTTATAGTCAATTTTTTCTGGATGGTCAAGGTATGTAAGTTGCATTAATTTATTTTTGGGTCTGAGGAAAAACGAAATCAATTAACACATGCATTCATATATCCCCAGTAGAAAAAGTGGACTTCTGCACTTATTATTATTATTAAATAAAACCCTTTCTTTGCACAGAATTAGAAAAGATAGTATTGTAGTCTTGCTTCTTGATGATACAAAGAGATAATTTAATTCACACTGTTGCATTATTAAGTTGCTCCTCAGTCCTCATTATAAACATTCCTGCTACTACTGTCTTTCTGATTGTACATGTATATCAATCTTCATTTTTACACACAAAAATGTTCAGTTAAATTGGTTTTCCAATTTTCTGTATAAATTTCACAAAATTAATATAGCTATGAGTATATGTTAACTTATAAATGGAAGTAATCATGTATTCATGTATAGCAAATTAACAGGCTATAAATCTTTAAAGTTGGAAGATCCTCTCAAGGCTTTTTTGGCCCTGTTAATGTCTAGAAAATCAAAACTGCTCAGTTTTTGGTGACAATACATTAAATATCAATTTCATAATGGCATAATTAATTGTTGAAAATGATGTATTTTGATAATGACATAATGAAATGCATCATTTCAATACATGTATCATGAAAATCCCTTAAAAATTGTCCAAAATGCAATCTAATCAAGATCAGACTTCATACATCAGCGCCGTATTGTCAGTATTCACTCTGCGTAAGAGTGAATACGGGGCAAATCTAAGAAGTCTGATTTGATTTAATTAGATTGGTCCAAAATGTTCAGTATTTTGTATTTTTTTAATCTTTTTTTTTTCTCGATTTTAGCCAAGGATCCATTTTACATGAGAGATACAAGGTAACATTTTTTAAAAAAAACAACTTCAAACATTTCTTATATTTTAGAAAAGTAATTTACTTTTGAGGCATAGCCAGTGAAACTGTTTTCATTTATTTATTTTAGAGATCTATTTAGACGATTCTTTGGTCCACCAGATCAGAAGGCGTCATATCTTAAGGTGTATGTGGTTAGTCCAATATATTTACGATTCGGAGGATCGGTATGTCGATGTCTCAGACGTTGGCTAGATGCTCCTACCATGGAAGAGGGGGACGAATCATATTGGGTACCTCCTGAAAACCAGAGTAATGGTAACGAAAAGCCTCGGAGCACTGTGATAATGTGCAAACCTTGTCTTGATGACTGTAGTACAAAATATTTCCGAGAAAAAATATCTGGAAAAAGAAATGGGCCAAGCTTTATAGACTATTGGACACTAGGAGACCCACGTTTCAATGACAAAAATAATCCTTTGTATGACTTATCGGCGAACGAGTTTTCGGATTGGAGAGACACTCTATCCATTGAGAAGTTCCGTGACTTTGTGCATTATGCCAAATTCCAATATGGTGATGAATCCAACAAATGCCAGGAGTGTTTGAACTTGAGCAATAAGCGGGAAGATCCCATGGACAGTATATCTGTAGCAGACTGCAGGTCAGACGGTCACAAAAAGAAAAAACGCAAGAAGAAGAGCAAGGTCAAACCTACGGCTGACGATGTGGATAATGATATCGATGACCTCGTAGCACACATTGAAGGAGAAAAACAACTGGATCAAATGCCTGTTTCTACATTCGCTGGGGCCAAAGTTCCAGACACTGTCATACCCATTAAGAAAAATGAGGATAAGAATCAAAACAAACCTGTAAGTAATAAAAAGAAGAAAATCTATGAGGAAAGAACTAAGATAATGGAGGGATTTAAGTCTGACATACTGCAAGCTAATGATGACCTTCCAAGGAACAGTCGATTAGAGGGTTTTAACGTGGTCCGTATTGAAGACGATAAGACAGGATCTAGTGAGCTGACAGTATCCATCAAAGCCATTAAGGTATGGTAAAAAATTTTTAAAAAACTTTATTTTCAGATTGTAAAATTAATTTAACAGAAATTTTGAAAAGTAAACTTCAGTGACATAAATTCAAATCAAAAAACTAAACTGGATTTTTGTATGTACTGTATACAGGGAAATTTCGCTCCCATTTTATTTTTGCCCCTTTAGCCCTAACCTTGATTGGGCAAATTTAAAACGGGGCAAATTAAAAAAATACGAAATAATTTCATTTTCTTAAACAAAACTGTGATTGGGCGAATTGAAGACAGGACAAAATGGTTTGCAAGTCTGAAAGGGGGAAAATAAAGCGGGGCCAAAAAAAACCTGTATACAGTATTACTCATAGAAAAATTACTTCAAGCTTTACATTGTATTACTCTTTTGCTTGTGTCCAAAAACCTTAGTGAAAATTTTTCTTCTCATCATTGAATTTACAAAACATATATTGTACTGTGTGTAATATTGATGATGTTGTCCCCGTTAGGGAGAAGAGGGCAGATCCCCCCGGCCTAAGATGACGCGATACCAGAGTTCCTATCCGCTGACGGCTCAGATGATCCGCAGTCACCTGGAGAACCTCCCTGAGAGGCTGGAGTGGTACGAGGGGGACTGCTGGTGTGCCTGTGTTCTGAACTATGCCACAGAGGAGAAGGAGAACCCTACAGACTTCACCATCAAAGTTTCAGGACCTGACGAAGATACCACCAAGAGAACCATGTTTAAATGTAATGTATATCTTGACCCCTATCACTGAAAAGCTTCAGAATCTTTGTATGATTTGCTCATTTTAAACTTTAAAGTATTTTGATCCTCAGGTTTTGAAAATCAGGCATTGTATAATTGAAGATGCTCATAAAAAGATCTCTGAATTCTCAAAGTGAATTTATGAATGGTAGTTCTTCAAGGTTGAAGGTCAAATGCTCAGGTTCACCTCTTTCTTTTTTGGGCATGAAAAACTTGTAAAAATTAAAACTGATTAATTTTTTTGGACAAGGTGTTATAAATCTTAATGCTTCATGGTGTCAAGATATCTATTCAATATGATATACATGTACCTATAATCTTCTTAAAATTTTCCCATGAATCGTTACTGTATACTGGGAAATCTTTACCCATGTTTTATCTTAACCCCTTTTTAGGGCGAATGTAAAAGGGGGCATTTTCAAAGAATGCAGCAAAATTTCTTAAATAGAACTATGACTGGGTGAATTTAAAATGGGGCAAAATTGTTAGCAAGACTGTGCAAAAGGGCGAAAATAACATGGGGTAAAAATAACCCTGTTTACAGTTCTTCCCTTTTCTTAAATTAAAAAAAAAAATCTAAAAATTGCCCTTGTTTCATGTTTAAAATTTTTTGAAGATAATCACAACCCTCTGATCAAAAAAAGTTTATGTTGATGGAATGGGGACTTTACATTGTTCTCTTCAGTACTGTTTTATGTGGGGCGGAGGAAGAGCCGGTCCTGCCCGGGCTGGGTGATGGAGGACGATGACGTGGTGGCCTGTATCCTCCCCGACGACTGCCCTGACCAGGAGGGACTGTCCATCTCTATCATCAAAGGCTTTCACTTCCTGGATAGGCTCAGCAATGATGAACAAAAGACCATGGTTAAGGCAAGTATTGAGGCATTTGTTAGTTTTGGAATAAAATTTGAAGATAATGAACAGTGTAATATTGCTCAAATGTCTAATCAGGAGCAGAGCAAACACAGCTCTCTTGAAACAGAGGTGGGTTCAAGTTGCATAGAGGAATAAGCATCCCTAAATGGTCACTTCCTTTGTTTTCTCCTTATCATGAATCATTGTCCTAGCAAATAACAGTTTAGCATGAGAATCTTGGCATATAAGTCTTAAAACATTCTTTCTTGTTATTTAAGCCATGTTTGTGTTTAAAAGTTTTTAAAGTGCATGAGTTTTAAATACTGGTAATTAACTTTAGAGAGCATTTATACACCCAGTTAGTATTATGTTTAATATTATCATCATATTTGGTGAAGAATAGTAATCAGATGAATTTGTATTGGTTAATTTTAAGTAATGTTATGAAATAAATATTGTTTACAGACTGAAGAGGCAGAAAAACCAGCTGAAAAAGTTCTAATGACAGTAAGAGGAAAAGATGTGGAAAAACTTCTGCAGGTAGGTTTATGATTCAGATATACAATTGGAGAGATCCACTAGATGTTAGCTCATATGAGCTAAAGGCTTAAGTGAGTTTTTCTGGATGAAGTTGTCTATTTGTCTGTCCTCTTAATTAATTTTTCACATTTTTGGCTTCTTTGCAGAATTACTAGACCAATGACAATCAAATTTACTGTGGTAATTTAAATAGCTCAAAGTATTCTTGGCTAAAGGGGATTCAATTTTTTTAAAGGAGAAATAATCAATAAAATGGCCACATTGCTTTGATGGGGGGATAATCAAGAAAATGTAAAATAGGAAAAATTTCTTCTTAAAGCCAGCTGTCGAAACATGGCTGAAAAATTGCCAAATTGGGGTTAAACAATTAATCAATCAAAATGCTGAAAATTCAGGCAAATGTTTATGTACCATATAAAACTTAAAAGTTTATTCTATAATTTTCAGAAATAAATTATTGACAGGTATAAAGATTTTACTATTCTTGAATCTACAAAGGACTTGGTCCTACTGCATATAAAAAAAAAGATTTCATCAAAGGATATGTGAGCATATTAATGTTTAAATAAAAGTATAAAATTAGTATGTTGGGGTAAATATTATCCTATTATTAAGCTCCGCCAATCATGTCCACTTCCAGAAAATTTCATTTGTCTCAATTTTGGCAGTTTCCCAAGTATTTGAAATGGGTAGAGGGAAACACAACAAACAAATAATTGTAATGTTTGATGACATGGTGCAGTGCAAGGGCAATTCAGTCCTGCATAGATTTAGTTAAAAGCTTACATCTTCACAAAGCCTGTTTTCTTTCAAAGTGTCAAACAATATATGACTTTCTTTGATTCCACATCAGATAATAATTGTCTTAACTAAATAGTTGAAGAGGTACATTGATATCATAATGATTGATTAATATTGTTGACTTACAAAATAGTTGACTTATTATGCTAACAAGATTTTCTTTTTCTATCTTTTGAAACAGAATGAACTGGGAAAAGGTGTTCTGAAGGTCATATTGGACACATATGGCAATGTAAGTGATTGGTTGTAATATATATGAAGTTTCCTTCTATCCTTAATGTGATTTTTAGCTCTACTGGTCAGAGACCAGAAGAGCTTATGCGATAGTAATGCGTCCGTCGTCCGCCCGTCTGTCTGTCCGTCTGTCTGTCTGTCTGTAAACAATTTTTCAAAATGCTACTCCTCCTACAATTTTGGTCTGATTTTAATATAACTTGGCACACAAGTAGACTACACTAAGATACATAATTCTGTGCATCAGGTTTTACTTTCGATGAACGGTGTTGCCATGGTTACTAAAAATAGAAATTTCTGTGAAATTCTTTTAAAATGCTACTCCTTCTACAGTTTTGATCCGATTTCAGTATAACTTGGCACACACAAGTAGACTACACTAAGATACATAATTCTTTGCATCGGTTTTTGATTTCGATGAGTGGTCTTGCCATGGTTACTATAAATAGAAATTTCTGTGAAATTCGTTCAAAATGCTACTCCTCCTACAGTTTTGGTCCGATTTCAATATAACTTGGCACACAAGTAGACTACACTAAGATACATAATTCTGTGCATCGGTTTTTGATTTCGATGAATGGTGTTGCCATGGCTACTAAAAATAGAGATTTCTTTGAAAGTCTTTCAAAATGCTACTCCTCCTACAATTTTGGTCTGATTTTAATATAACTTGGCACACAAGTAGACTACACTAAGATACATGATTCTTTGCATAGGTTTTTGATTTTGATGAACGGTGTTGCCATGGTTACTAAAGATAGAAATTTCTTTGAAATTCTTTCAAAATGCTACTCCTCCTATACTTTTGGTCCGATTTCAATATAACTTGGCACACAAGTAGACTATACTAAGATACATAATTCTGTGCATAGGTTTTTATTTTGATGAGTGGCAAGGATCACTTTTTTTTACTTATTGCTGGTTTAAAGTCTCAAGTCCCAACTGCTACTTTTCTCTTCCTTTGTTTTAAGTATAAACCAGTAGAGCTACAGTCTCGACAGAGACTTCTGGTTTTAAAAATCTTTCTGATTGGCAATTTTTCTGATCCTCATTATAACAATGAATTAATATACAATTTAAACATGTTCTATCATCTTCTAAAAAGTTTATTCATCAGGCCATCTTTTTAAAAAAAAAATGTTTGTTTGTCCTCTAACCACTGTTTTTCGAAAAATGATCTGACTCAAAACTTTTCTAAACCTCCTGGAAACTATTTTTTTTTTATTCCTGGATATTCTCGTCTTGTTAACAAATGTGATTTCAAAGATGGCCCTGAAGGTAGATTCAAGATAATCCAACACTTTGCTTTAATCTAAACATGGTTGTGCATGTGATGTGTATCTGTTGATAACAAATGAGATGTACGCTTTGTTAATGTCCCTGCCCAGACTCCAGTTGTAAAGTAAAACTCAATCACAGATCAACAGCCCATTTTAGAAATCTTGTGATGACTGCTACAAGGTAATGGTTTATAATGGTTTCAAATAAATTTTTAAAAATATTTTATTTGAAGTTTTTAGCAAAGCACTCAACCTGAATTAAAACTTATTATTACAGAATGCTATAAATGGAAATACTGGTGGAACCATTAATTTAAATGCACCATTTTCAGATAAGTATGTATAGCTTAAAAAAACTATTATACATGTATGTCCTAAATTCAATTAACCTAAGCAAGAATTGAATGTTACATGTACACTAGTATATTTAAACATGATGAATATTTTAAATGATATTTCTTTGCAGAGAACATGGCTGAAAAATTGCCGACTGGGCGTTAAATAATATATTATGTACAATCAATTACAGTGTAAATGATACAAGACTTTATGCATTATATGAATTTTTCAGTTGAACCTAAGATAACACCTGTAACTTTACTTATGTTTTTTTTCTTTTCAGGATTGGGAAAGAACAGGTGAGGTTAATTATGTTTGAATACAAGACTCTGGGGATGGGGGGGGACTTCAGATTTATATGCATGATGCATGTTTAAATGTACTTTTATATTGTACATAATCCACCTGGTCAATGCTTGAACTAGAAGAAATCATGCAAAATAAAAACATATTATAAAGTAATATCACAATAACATTGGCAAATCTTGGACCTTTATCATTGCAGGAACAACCAATATGGACCCAAATACAAAAGGACCCAGAAAAATTTGAACTCTTCTTCATGGTTTCAAAGAGTACTGGTAAGCTTTGCAATTAACTTGCTTATAGCAAACACACTTATAATAAATTGATGCTGTTACAGCAACTTGTTTTTCATTCCCCATGGGTTTTAAAACATATTGTAAAGCTAACAGATATAACAAATTACATTTATGATGAAGCACAAATCTCCCATTTTTGACACTTTGTTAAAAGCATGTTTTACTGTATTCTAAAACTTAATTATTTGCTGGATGGTTTGTATGAAGTTGGTACCACTTAAAAAAAAACAGATACAGTGGAGCCTCATTTATCCGGACACTTTGGTTCCTAGTCAATTTGTCTGGATAAGTGAAGACCTGAATTACCAGTTAAATAAGACAAAATAACTTTTAAAAATTCTGTTCCAATGAAAAATCGTACGGAAACTGAAGCGTCCGGATATCTGGCGTCCGGATATCTTAAGGTCAACTGTATATGTGTTAGAATTTCCTTTAGTAGAGAAGAAAAAGCAGATGGTGAAAATGTTCTAATTTCATTTTAATATAGAACCTCAGCTTCAGAAGAGAGGATTTACAACCGTGGATTACTCCCTATTTGAGAAAGACCCTATGAATAAATATATGCCATGGGAGAGAGTGTTCTGTCTCAGATGTAAAAGAAACAGAAGAATTTGTACATGTGGACCTTTCAAAAAATTTGTTGAGTTGGAGCAAACAAGAATGGAACCAGTCAATGTAACTAAAAGGGAGGATCTGGATTTGAGGCTGGGAACCAACATGAGAAAGCCCATCCTCCAAGATATTCTGAACAGAGAGTTTGAAAATCATGCTTCTCTTAAAGAAAAAGACAAGCAAAGATTTGAGCAGTTGAAGGCTAATTTACAAAGTGTCCCAGAGGTGGATGAGGAGAAGGCCAAAGAGGAAATGAGGGATTTTATTGCATCGGTCCTCATAAAGAGGAAGATGGAGGAGGAAAAAGAGAGGCCCAAGAAGGTGCTTTTATTTGGAAGTGGATTGAGCAAAGATGGGGTTAGCAGGATAAGCCAAGTTAAGACTGTGGAGGAGAGTGGGAAGAAAGATAAAGCACAGGGAATTTATAATCCAAATAATAGGAAGGGTAGAGTATATAGAACTGTTGTAAATGAGAAAAGTAGAAGCAGAGAACCCAGGAGTACAGCGATTCTAATTAGACCACCAGAGAAAAAATTGAGTGTCAATGGAACAAAAGAAATACAGAAAGGCAGTATGGACAAAATGGCAGGTAGACAAAAGGAAGAAGAAGAGAAAAAAATTGAAAATGCTAAAGATAAAGAAAAGACCCCAGAAGATGCACCAGTTGGGCTAGAGAGTATTGATAATGAGGACGATGATAATGAATGGGTAACTACTTCAAATTTTAAGAAGTTCTGAAACTTTTCATTGGTTTAGCTAGACTCATTTAAGTACATTTTTGTGGAATCAATTTGATAGTTTGGTATTATAATCATAGTTTTTTTTATATCATTAATAATATGGGAAGAAAAGCATTTTATACTTTTCATTGGTTATCAAAATCATTTGACTTCTTATTTTTCCCTTTAATACATGGATAAGCAATTTTCTCTTGTGTGAAGGGAGGAAATTGAGGTAAATTATGTATTGTTTCCTTCACAGACGAGCACAGATGATGAATCAGATGATGAGAAAAAAGAAGACATTCAGCCATTACAGACAAAGTCAAAAGAACCAAACATTCCAGATGACTCAGCTGATTGTGCAAAACCACAAGTTGAGAAGGAAAATAATGAAGATACAATTTCTGCAGGAGAAGGGGAGATAAAAGCAATAGAGCAGTCCCCTATACAAGGACCTGAAGTTGAAGTTAATAAGGATGACATTGAAAGAAGTAAAGATGAGTCTTCTGTGCTAGAAGTGGACAAAGATCAAGTAATGAAAAGTGAGGGTGATGAAAGTAAGCCAGTTGATGCGAAGGGGCAGGGAACCAAGATAAATGAAGAAGTTCAGATGGTTACTGGAGTAGAAGGGGGACCAGTCACTACAGATGAAAACCAATCAGCTAATTCTGAAGAGGGAGAAGCTCCTATAAAGGAGGAGGGAAAACCAACAAGTCTAGAACAGAAGGAGATAATTGAAAATAATCCAGAAAATTCCTCTCTGGCAAAGGAAAGTGATTCACCTGTAACAGATCAAGAGAGGTCAACCAATACAGAAGAAACACAGGCAGAAGTAGCAGATCAGGAAAAGTCAGTCACAGAAGAGAATCTATCTGCAGAAGAGAAAGCCACACAAACCACTGCTGAACAAACTGGCTCCTTGGAAATAAATGGGAACGAATCCATTACTACACTGACGGAACAAAATTCTACCCAAACTGACCAGGATGGAAAGCCACAAGATGAAGGTAGTAATCAACATCAAGTATTGACTGATAAAAAAGATGAAGTGCCCTCTACAACAGAACCAGTTATTGAGAAGAGAGAGGTTCTTGGTGGAATACTTAAGTGCTGCTCATTCTGTAACACAGAAGAACCAGCCCCCAAAACATACAAGAAATGCCTCAAGTAAGTACTTTTTCCATAGTGTCTGTATAGAAAGTAAAAAGAAAGAGTGTGGTATACACCCCATTTGTCCCCCCTTTCAATACTGTAAACCAACTTATTCGCGACGACTTTATTTTGCGATTTACCAGGGGAAAACTAGTTCGCGACAACTTATTTTTGCAAACAAGCTTGGTTTGGATCAGTTGTTAATTGACACAGAGACTTTAAGGACCATTTCGCGCTGAGAAATATTCGCGATGAAGAGGCTCTCGCGAACCGCGCAAAAATTTCTCGCACGCGAAAAAAAGTTGGTTTACAGTATTCAAAATGGAGTTACAATAAATTTATTTTAGAGCACTATACAGAATTGTAAAAATATTTAAAGAAATATTTTATTCTTCAGATGCAAACAAGAAGGAATCATTAGTGCTAGATATTACTGTGGGAAAAATTGCCAAAGTAAGTGAATGCATGTTAACGAACTGTCACTTTTGAAGTGAAGTTTTATATTGAAAAGAGGTTTCATATTTGAATATTTTGCAGCAAGTAAGAGGTTTCATATTTGAATATTTTGCAGCAAGTAAATACTGTATATTGCATTTTGATAAAAAGATACAGGTCTTATGTACTGTAGATATAATTTAAATTACCAATAAATGCCATTATAAACAAAGAGTCGTTTCTATTAAAGTAACTATTAGTATTAAGGTGATGAACAATTTTCCTGTCAATATTTTCAGCATCAGACTGGAAAATACGTCATAAAGGAGAGCACAAAGAAAACCTACTGGACTGAAAAGACATTCAAAGATTTTGCTATGCTGTGCTTACTACGAGGTCTTTTGTTCAGAATTTTGATGAGCTTGGTGATTGTATTCTTATTATTTTATATTAATTACCTACTTTTATTTTTTTTCTTTTCTGTATACATTGATTTTTTTTTTTCAAAAATGTTTTGATCATGTAATGTTTATGTTATGTAAAATTTATAGATATTGATTGTTACATAAAGGCTATTCAGTTTTATTAACTGTAGATCAAGGATAATTTTTTATGTGTAGTTTTAGTTTTGCATTTAAGTCTTTAGGAAAATGACATATTTTGTGACTTTATTTGAACATATTTTAAGTGGAATTATTATATCGAAGCACTTAATATTATGTATGTGTCTATCTTTTATATTTATTTAGCAATTCGATGTTTTCAAATTTTATTTTAAAATCAAATTATTTTATTGGTTAAGTACAATCAAGAAATAATTGTTTAACTTATAATTAAGATTTGATTTGTCTTACAAAAATGACTTGTCTTGACTCTCTATATATGAGTACCCTATACTACAGTGCTTAAAATGTATTTAATTTTCCCATTTTATTCGCTGAATATGTTTGAAAATTTTGTGTTATATGTGTCCATGTATGCACACATAGCTTAGAGTATTTTAAAATTTTTTGATTAAAATGATTGATCAATAAAAATAGCAATGAATGAAGCTACTATCATGGTTTATGTAGACGAAGACATACTCTTTAATTAAATGCATTATAGGAGGAAACTTCTATCAGTAGTTATTCTTCAACAGAGTGCATAATACTTAGAATAAAAATATTCAAGGCATACTATACATGACTGGAATTTCTATTTAATAAAATGCTTGTTGTAATTAACTCATTTATGCCATAGGCACTCCCCATTTTTATGTGCCCAGATCTATTCCTATATTGTTTTTGCCCTTCTGTGTGTCTTTTGTCAACTTTAACCTTCACCATAACTTTTGAACTATTAGAGATAGAGATTTCATGTTTAGTATGCATACTTCAGTAATTTAGTTATTTCAAATGACACCAAGTTCAATGACCTTGTGACCTTGACTGTGACCTATATGCAAAAATATCTTTTTTCGAACTTTCACCATTACTTTTGAACCATAAGAGATAGAGACTTCATATCTGGTATGCATACTCCACTAATTAAGTTGTTTCAAATGACACTAGGGTCAATGATCTTGTGACCTTAACTGTGACCTATATGCTAAGAATAGTTTTTTCAAACTTTGTTGCTGCCGAGCGCATAGTGTTTCACTACATATCTTGTAATTGTTAAAAATACACCTTCTATACTATAAACATAACATTATGATATTATTGTAAGTGTATATATTTTTTTAGGTCACCTGAGTAAACTCAGGTGACCTATTGCTATCTGTTTTCGTCCGTCGTCGTGCGTCGTTCGTCGTGCATCGTGTGTTAACATTTGAACATTTTCAGCTCCTTCTCTGCAATCACTGAACCAATTTCAACCAAATTTGGCACAATGCATCTATGGATGAAGGGGAACAAAAATTGTGAATTTCATGATCCCTGCCCCCCTGGGGCCTGAGGGGTGGGGCCAAAACCACTAAAATTAATGCAATCTTTAAAAATCTTCTTCTTTACTCCTGGACATCAAGCAGTCAAACTGTTTACATGATTGTAATCAGCAATGAGTCCGCTACCAAAATTATGAAATTCATGGCCCTGGGGTCAGGGGTTCTAGTGCTAGGGCGGGGCTAAATAAGTAGGTAGTGAAAATGCATTATTTCTTTGAAAATCTTCTTCTCTGCTCCTGGGTATTAAATAAACCAACTAAGTACATAGTTATGATGAGCAAGAGTACCTCTACCAAAATTGTGAATTTTATGGCCCCAGGGTCGGGGGTTCTGGTGTTAGGGCGGGGCTCTATTGATTATATAGTGAGAATACATGAATTCTTTGAAAATCTTCTTCTCTGCTCCTGGGTATTAAATAAACTAACTAAGTACATAATTATGATGAGCAAGAGGGCCTTTACCAATATTGTGTATTTTATGGCCCCAGGGTCAGGGGTTCTGGTGTTAGGGCAGGGCTCTATTGATTATATAGTGAGAATACATGAATTCTTTGAAAATTTTCTTCTCTGCTCCTGGGTATTAAATAAACTAACTAAGTACATAATTATGATGAGCAAGAGGGCCTTTACCAAAATTGTGAATTTTATGGCCCCAGGGTCAGGGGTTCTTGTTTTAGGGAGGGGCTCTATTGATTATATAGTGAAATGCGTCAATTCTTTGAACATCTTATCCTTTGCTCCTGGTTAATATACTAATGATCTAATTACATATTGAAGGCCAGGATTTATTTTATTTTCAGTTTTACAAACCCTCCGCTCAAGGTTTTGAATTTTCAGAAAAAAATAAATTTTTTTTCTTTCCGATGTCAAATTTGAGTCGGGATCGAGATTTCAAATTTACGAACTCGCACTTCCAGTTTTACGATGAAACGGCGGGTAAATAAAGCTAGATCTGAGAAGATAGCTTGGTTTAGTGTAAAATTCATCGGTAAGAGTGCCATTCAAAACGTTTCACCCGTTCAAAGGACAAATAAAATGCTGACGACTTTGTTGCACAATGACATGCTGGTGAGATAATTATGTATTCGTTTCAAAAATAACTGTAAATTATTTTCCTCCCCCAGGTTTTAAACTGCCCGTGGTAGCTATTGCATATTGCCAGGGACATTGTTTAGGTCTCTGTTGTAGCTTACAGTCTAAGCATCATTCTTCAGAAAAGGGTTGCTTATGCATCAGATGTAATTCATAAAACTATGGGAGAAGTGAAGTCCATTTGAGGAAGAAATAAACAATAACCTGAAGAAATAAAAAAAAAAATTCAACTATTAAAAGGCAAGAATATACAAATATATACAGGCATGTAGTATCATTTGTATCAGCCAGAAAAATTATTTTACACTTAATTGAAAAAATGTTAACCCTACTCCCCAATACTCCCTGTCTGTTTTATGATGGGAATTATAATTTTAGGCATCAAGTAAATTTTAGAACAATGTCTACACATTCACCTAACACATATTAAAAAAAATGAAGATATATTTAAAGACTTTTAAAGAATTGATTTTTTAAAATATATTTTGACCAACATCACAAAATTGATATAACTGGCCCAAACTGGCAGATGATGAAATAAGCAATTAAATGTTCTACTTTCCTATTTGTAAGCATTATGTGTCCAGTGGTTAGGAGCCTATTAGAATAGCATAAAAAAGAATGTACAAATGTTAATAATTGATTTATCAAAAAATAATTTTTATTTCCTTCTCCTTCGGGACTTTTTTATTCTCATGTTCATAACTAAACCTAAACATAAAAAAATGCTGGCCTTATAATGAAGAAAGGGGTCTCTTTCAAAATAGATAATTTCAGGGCCAATGGGTCGGGGGTACCAGGGGGGTGCTTTGACTAAAAATAAATTAATGCTTTAAAATCTGCCATTTGATAAGCAATGGTGCCTCCTTCAAAATTTGTGAATTTCATGGCTTTTGGATTAAAACACGAACCAAATACAATCGGTGGAAAGTTGTTACATGATACTCAGGTGACCTATAAGGCCCGTGGGCCTCTTGTTTACAATTAAGATGGGGAGTGTGTATGATTTATGCATGGTTTCGACTCGGTGTTACATTAGAATTTAATATTAATAATAAACAAGAGGCCCATGAGTCTTCTAGTCACCCAAGTATCATGCAACAACTTTCAATTGAATTTAGTTTGTGTTTTAAACTAGAGGCAACAAAATCCACAATTTTGAAAGAGGCACCAGTGCTCATCATTACAACAGGCTAAGCATATATTATGTATGCTTAGTCTGTTGTAATGATGAGCTACTTTGATTACTTAATACCCAGAGACAGAGCTGGGGACAAAAAACGCATTTCCACTATAAAACCAGAAGTGCCCCGCCCCACAAGAACTCCTGACCTTGGGGCCAGGCATTTAAAATGTTTCGAAAAGGTACCCTTGCTCATCGTAAATCTTTGATTAATACCAAAAAGCAGATTTCAGTACATGTATAAAATCATTAGAATGAAATAACGATTTTGGAAGAGGCACTCTTGCTCATCATAAAGATTAATACCCAGGAGTAGAGTAGAAGATTTGATTTAATACATTTTCACTATATTATTAAAACCCCCACCCCCCTCATGCCAGAACCCTTGACTCAGGGGCAATGAAATTCCTAATTTTGGAAAAGGCATTCTTGCTCATCATAACCGGTATGTACTTGATTCATCGGCTAAATACGCAGGAAAATTGGAGAACATTTTCAATTATTCAATGTATTTTCATTATATAATACATAGAAATCTGCCCATGTGTTAGAACCCCTGACCCAGAGGGGCTATTCCTTCATGTAAGAAGTCACGAAAATCATAGCTAGCATCAACATACCAGTAATAGAAAATAATAAAATCTCAGATCTTGCTTATAGCAAAATTTGGAGCATATTTCAATTTACCAAAGAGAATCTTTGAAGTGAAATTAGATGCATTGAGCAGCATTTGTCCATCAAAGTAATTCTTGTAGAGCTAGCGGCATTTGTCCAAAATAGACTTTGAGGTAGAGTCGGCGGCATTTAGTGGCATTTGTCCAACACAGTGCTTCTGGTAAAGTCAGCGGCATTGAGTGGCATTTGTCCAAGAAAGACCTTCTGGTAGAGTTAGCGGCATTTGTCCAAGAGAAACCTTCTGGTAGAGTCAGCGGCATTTAGCGGCATTTCTCCAACACAGTGCTTCTGGTAGAGTCAGCAGCATTTAGCGGCATTTTCCCAAGACAGACCCTCTGGTAAAGTTAGTGGCATTGAGCGGCATTTCTCAAAGACAGTGCGTCTGGTAAAGTCAGCAGCATTTGTCCAACACAGACATTCTGGTAGAGTCAGCGGCATTTGTCCAAGACAGACCTTCTGGTAGAGTCAGCGGCATTTGTCCAAAACAGACCCTCTGGTAAAGTCAGCGGCATTTAGCAGCATTTGTCCAACAAAGACCCTCTTGTAGAGTCAGCGGCATTTAGCAGCATTTGTCCAACAAAGACCCTCTGGTAGAGTCAGCGGCATTTGTCTAACACAGACCTTCTGGTAGAGTCAGCGGCATTTAGCGGCATTTGTCCAACAAAGACCCTCTGGTAGAGACAGCGGCATTTGTCTAACACAGACCTTCTGGTAGAGTCAGCGGCATTGAGCAGCATTTGTTCAACAAAGACCTTCTGGTAGAGTCAGCGGCATTCAGCGGCATTTGTCCAAGAGAAACCTTCTGGTAGAGTCAGCGGCATTTAGCGGCATTTGTCCAACACAGACCTTCTGGTAGAGTCAGCGGCATTTAGCGGCATTTCTCCAAGACAGACCTTCTGGTAGAGGTAGCAGCATTTGTCTAAAACAGACCTTCTGGTAGAGTCAGCGGCTGCATGAATACAAAATGTTAAATTATTCCAGTTTTATATCTTTTATGGAATAAGCTGCATGATAACAAAATGTTAACCTATCCCAGTTTTATATCTTTTACGAATAAGCTGCATTTTAAATCTTTTACGAAATAAGCTGCATGATATAACATGTTGACCTATCCCAGTTTTATAACCTTTACGGAATGAGCTGCATTTTAAATCTTTTACGGAATAAGCTGCATGATAATAAAATGTTAACCTATCCCAGTTTTATATCTTTTACGGAATAAGCTGCATGATTTTAAAATGT